CAGAGCATTCTGCAATTTCTAGTCTTACGAGAAGGTTCTAATAATGCCTAAAGGTAAAGAATTGACTATTTCACAAAAACAACACATTTCGTCTCTTTGGAAAGATGGGAACAGTTACAGAACGATTTCTAACAACCTGAATATTCCTTTTACTACAATTGCTTCGTTCATTGCAAGGTTTAAAACTCGTAACAGCATCGAAAACCAAAGACGAACAGGTGCTCCGAGGAAGATTTCTCTAAGATCAGCAAGGATATTAGGACGCCAGATCCAACAAAATCCACAGGTTACCCGAGAAGAGCTGCAGGAACATTTTTTGTGCATTAGGGATTAAAGTAACCAAGCGTACAATAAGTAATGAAATACATAAAAACAGTCTGAAATCACGCATCCCAATGAAAACTCCACTCCTCTTGAAACGACACAGAGATACTAGGCTAAAATTCGTTAGAGAGCATAAGGATAAAGAATATTCGTTTTGGGGAAAAGTACTATGGACAGATGAAACTAAAATAGAGTTGTTTGGTCATAATTATCGAAATCATGTGTGGAGGAAGGAGAGTGAAGCCTACTTACCAAAGAACACGTTGCCAACTGTAAAGTTTGGTGGTGGTAGTATCATGATCTGGGGCTGTTTCTCTGCAAAAGGTGTTGGCAGAATATCAATAATAGATGGCAAGATGAATGCTGAAAGATACCAGAAAATCCTGCAAGACAATTTAATGCGTTCTGTTCGGCTACCTCCTGATTGGGTTTTCCAACTGGATAATGATCCTAAGCATACCGCTAGATCTACAAGGAAATGGTTAGCTGAAAGTAACGTTGATGTCTTGCAATGGCCAAGTCAGACCCCAGACTTGAACCCAATCGAGAATTTATGGCGATATTTGAAAATTCAAATTGGGAAAAGAGCACCAATAAATATCAAGAAATTGAAGACAATATGCCAAGAAGAATGGGACAAAATACCATTCAATGTGTGCAAATCATTAGTTGAGACATACAGGAATAGACTGGTAGCTGTTGAACTCAATAAAGGATATTCCACAAAGTATTAAATTAAGTTAATATGTTTTTTTTTGTTTTGTACGAATATTTTTTCATCAGTTAAAATGAAAAAAATGTATTAATTTCTGTTAAAATAAGAATTAATTAGGTTTATTACTATTTTTTAATAAAATGTATTTTTACATATAAAATGTATCAAAATCTGTTAAGGCTTTTACATTTATAAAAATACAATTTTTCATGTGTACGAATATTTATTTCCCCCACTGTATATAAGATGATCATTGGTTATAAACAATTTATCACTAAGATTCTGACAACCTGATAAAACTATATAACACTGATACTACTTGTCGCATAGCAACGATTTCCTAGATAGTTAAACAGGACATAACTTGCATTCGTTCGATAAAAAGTAATATGGTACTAAACTCGATACAACACAACAAATATTTGGAAACATTTTATAACTTTTCATTCTAAAAGGTTTTATGAATACTATCTTAATTCTTGGAAAGTGTGCCTGTCGTAGAGTAATGGAAAGTGGGTTTATCTCAAAAGCCATTGATATTTACTAGATAATCAATGATTTACCCTTGAACCAAATGTGGCTTAGCACAAATTTTTAGCTATATATGATGCTTGATGCTCCTAAAAGGTTTTATGAGTATTACTATGACGATTAAAAAGAGTGTCTGTCATAAAATGATGTGCTAGTCTAAAAGAAAGAACATTGATCCTGACGATATTTAATACATATAGCCTTAGTGCAACAAATATTTTATGTATAACATGCTTCTTGCTAATTAAATGTTTTAAGAATATTATCCGATGAAAAAATGTTTTACATAGATAATTTGATTTGTCACAAAAGCCATTTTTAGAAACTCTATAAAACTAAACTTGTGCCACGACTGACTTATTCCAAGAAAAAACAGATTAATATATTTCCTGCTTCTAAAAGCGTTTTAGGAATTTAACACTAGTCATGAAAATTGTGTCTGACAAAATGATGAAAGCGAATTTATCTTAAACGCTTTTGTTAGTGACTGAGTACTCAATGAATACATCCTTGTAGCACATATGACATAGTAAAAAGATAACTAGAGATATATGATTCATCCTGCTTCTAAAAGGATTTATAAATATTATCCGAACTACTTGAAAATGGTGGGAAGTGAATTTAAATCAGAACCCATTTTTAGAGATGGCTTCATGCAGTCTTACGTAGCTTAAACTAATAAATATCTAAAGGTATATAATGCCATCTGCCTCTAAAATGTTTCCTGAATATTATCTTGATAATGAAAAGAGCTTTTCCTAATCATTATGTATTTAATGAATATAGCCTTGTAGCAAATATATGTTTCTACAATGTATGTATATATATATATATATGTGTGTGTGTGTGTGTGTGTGTGTGTGTGTGTGTGTGTGTGTGTGTGTGAGTGTGTGTGTGAGTGTGTGTGTGTGTGTGTGCAACATATGTTCATTCAAGCAGGTTTAGTTGAATAATCTAGACATAATAGACAAAATAAAAGAAATAACAAAAACTACGATGTCTTTCTTAATCAGTTTATTAACAACACTAAGAAATTGTCCGTGAATTTCAGAGGATTAAAATTAAAATAAATAGACTGAATATGTTTAGATCATTCAACCAAAACTGTTGTATATGTATATATATATATATATATATATATATATATATATATATATATATATATATATATATATATATGAATTACAAGTAGATAAAATTCAATACCCCATATGATATATGGCCATTTTGCTAGAGATCTTTAAATGTTAAATTTTAAGGTCCTAGTTAAATTTTAAACTAATTTTTAGCCATAATCTACATTAATACATAATTTAATCTATATTCTATAACCTTCACTTATCTGTACTAATTTGGTCTAATTTATTTATTTAGTTTCTTGATATCTATTTATTTATTATTTTCATACTTCTGTTTTTTATATTTCTTTCTTATAATTTAAAAAAAATTTCATCTAATATTTATTTAATACGAGTTTAATACGAATATTCACTTATTCTTTTATTTATTTACATTATTTACATTATTCGGACTATTGTCCTCATCTTTGTCGCCATATTTATTACAACGTTTCGGCCGTTGTACGCTCCTGCCTTCTTCAGGTGGTTGGAATGTTGAACTGAAGCCTTTATTTCGCTCACTGGGGTAGACTGTTCTAGTTCCACATGCTATGTTTGATGGATGTCAGTTATCAGTTATCTCCTGTTAATTTCCCTCTGAAAGTTCTCCACTGCCTTAACTGGGTATTGAACTCACACTCTTTGGGTCCTGTCACTGGATCTAACCAATGCCTTTATCCACTGTGCCATGTGTCCTTGAATATGGCGGCAAAGATGAGGACAATAATCTGAATAATGTAAATAATGTATTTATTTATTCTTTTTAAAAAAAATTCATCTATTATTTAATTAATATTACATACTAAAAATCTTTTTAATTAGAGTTTAATATAAAATTTCTGTTTTAACATTTTATTAAAATTTCCTTAATATTATCTAAAAGGCTTTTCTAAACTTTTAAAGATTGTATTTCCTTATGTAATTTCTCATTTTGAACAAGAGTTAACATGTTAATATAGTTCAAGATCAGCCCATGTCTAGACGAATTTGAAAATTTTTTCATCTTAATTTCTCTTCTTTAATCATTTACTCTATCCCCTCCCAAATTTATTCTTCTCTTTTTTCTCCCTTTATTTATCTCATCCCATTTCCATTTTAAATATATTTTCTCTTAGTTGTAAATTTCCCTCTTCTTTCTTCCGATTTACAAAAGCATTTTGATACATTTTTTATCTCTTTGATGCTGACAAACCCGTTCTGGGCGAAATGGCCATATGCTATATGGGGTATTGAATTTTACCTACTTGTAATTCATATATGTTCTATAATAAATATATTGAGATCTCTTCTGTGTACAAGTTTTAATATTTTATATTACTAGGATTCACTTGGATTACTTACCACGAGTAGTTACCTGTACATATATATATTTTATAGATACAAATATTTAAGTAAATGCTCTGTTTATAATAAGCAGTATTAAACAACATTTACCGACCTAAATGTCCGAGAAATGACGTTTCCGTATATGATACAGGTTCGAATCCTGTCGGAGAACGAATATTTTCTATGAAAATTTCTCGGACATTCAGACCGGCATATGTTGTTTAATACTGTTTATTATGAACAGAGCATTTACTTAAATATTTGTATCTATAAAAAGAATGTATAAACATAAAAATGTCTGAAAATAATTGTCGGACTTTATCCATTTCATAATATATATATATATATATATATATATATATATATATATATATGATTTCTTCTACTTCGGAATGGTTTTCTATTCAATTGATTAAGATAGTTTGTGACAGTCGTAGGGTGAAGGAATGTACGATTATCTCAAAAGTAATTATCAACCGTTTAATTAATGAATCTACTAAAATATGAGTTAGCATAGCAAATATTTAGAAATATATGAAAGCTCCAACGTTTGAGGTATTATGAATATGATCATGATCATGGTCGAGTCGGTTAAAATCATGTCAGATCTAACAACAATTTCTCCTGTAAAGGGAGACACAGCTTCGAATCCTGCTGGAATGCTCATTTTCTTTCATAAGATTTTTCGAATATTCACGTCAGAAGACAAAAATAAATATACTGGTTAAAAGATAAAGGAAGCGTCTACTCAAAAATTGGTATCCATTAAAAATAATGTTTAAAGTTATAAAATATGTCAGATTAATGAATAAAAGTCCACTACTACTTTAGAAATAAATATTTATAACCAGAAGAGGCACGAATCGATAAACTTGAATAGGCGATAGATAGACAATTAAACATGAATAGACGCGAATAGACAATAGGCAGATAGATGTGAATAGACCACAGATAGACGGGAATAAACGATAGGCATACAAATAGACGTGAATAGACGATAGATGGATGTGAATAAATAGATAGATAGATAGATAGATAGATAGATAGATAGATAGATAGATAGATAGATAGATCAAAACATTCAGAACACCAACCTAAGAGCAAACCAATCACGTTATGCGCTACATAAACTAAGTTTACACGATCAGTCATGGACTTTACAAGATTTCTATATATTTTCCTCTGCGATACGACGACAGACTGTTTTCATCATTTCGATTCCTGCATATTGCTTGGTGCGTTTTCTGCAGAATTAACTTGTTTCTTCAACACGTACCATAACTGTTCAATGATGTCGAAATTACGGCCACAGTCAATTTGTCATCAGCCCTAACATCATTCTTGTAAAGAACATACATTGTAGCAAGTCAGTTTCTTTCTTTACTCTTATCGTCAAATACAGCTGCCATAAAGCAGTGTTCCAAATATTGAGTTCAGGCTGTAGGCGACAAAGTAAATTCCACATGAATTATAACAGTAACGTTATCCAAACTATCACACTATCTCTTGCTCAGGATAACGACACACATTTGTTTTCTATAAACCAATGTATTTCACAAGAAAACGACCAAGGTGTCGAAATTGATTTCTTCCTGTTTTCAAAAGAAAGCCTTAATGAACATCTCTATATAAAGTCTGCCCATCGTTAAGTGGTAAATAATGAGTTACGTTAATGAAAACTCCTAATTTAGAGTAAATATTTACTCAGTGTGTCTGTTCTAGTGATACATATCGGTGTACTCAATAAGAATTGTACTCAATACACTATAAAATCAAAAGAATCATAACTTTTGGGAACTATCTAAAAAGCGCCATCCTATATAAAGTCTAGCTTAAATTACTGCATGTATTTTGTAGCTGAGTATGATATGTGTATAAATCTTACTACGCTAATAATTGTAACTTGTTAGCTATAGCTCTTTATTGAAATTTAAATTGACAAGAATTATCAAACTTTTAATTGTTTTACTCATATTGTTTATGTTTTTTTAGGTTTTAGTTAGTGGACAGTGATTTACTTAAGTGCTTACTCGCATAAACTCTTTTTATCAACCTTTGTCAAAACAGATGTATGGCGCTAGTAAAGAGCGCCACTGTTGAAGATTTATGCGCAAACTTAAGTGCGAAATGATTACAATCAACCTATACCAATAGTAATACGCGAGTTTTCGTTTATCTTTTCCGTTCTGATAAATTCTATTTCAATTAGCACCTCCAAACTAAAAAGAGATCTGAAAATTATACTTTGTTAGCAGCATTCGGCTTAATTGACAAATAAAATCATATCTCGACATCTGCAGAGATTAATTCACAAATCCTTCGATTTTCAAACCCCTACCTAAAATAGTATTATATTTGCATATAATCTGTGCTTAATATCGTCCCATATTCTTTAAAATGTTGTGCATGATATCCTCCTATATTCTCTAGATTACTTAAATACTTCATGCAATGCAAAGTAAATGGTCGTTATACTGTAGGAAATAAAATAATGTTTTTGTCGAGAAATCAAAACCGAGAAAAAAAAAACTTACATAAACCCAAATTTTATTGTCAATATGTTTGTGTTAATAAAAAGAAAAAATATTGTAAAAAATGTTATAAGCATTATTTGTGTAGTCTGTAGAACCGGAAATATTTGTGAAAAGTGAAAGTGTGAGATGTTTACATGTAAAAATGGGAATCATAAGCATTATATAAACAGAGCGAAGAAAAGAGACTTGCTTCATACAGGTTGAGAATCATTTATCCGAAATTCATGTGACCGGAAGTTCTTCGATTTTCAGATTTTTTTTTTATTTTAGAATACAGGCTATTTAATTTGTATATAGCATCTATAAAATGGGCCAGCTTGGGAATGGAACCGAAGCATAAACACAATATCCCTTTACATTTCATAATACAACTTATACATATGCCCTGAAAGTAGTTATATATAAATAACATATACCCTGAAGGTAGTTTTATATAAAATTTAATAAATTGTAAGTACATACAAACGCAGGTGATGACGCTAGTCATGTAATGCTAACACAGATTTTTAATTGGTAAAATTAAGATTTCATGTAAAAATATTGATTTTTACTTTCTGTACGAATACAAAAACACGATCACTACTTACAACAAAATATATAAATGTAGGACTTTCTTTAATAATATTTTTACTGAGCACAAAACATCTGATAAGTAATCCACAAAAGACGGTGTTTCTGTGACGACCGCTAACAAAACACTAGCGCCAGTATGTAGCTGGGTTGGGGAACTCCCACCCAGCGCAAGTTAGGTCACTTACAATAGCTGCACATCATCTAGGAACCTTAACAGTGATTTCTGAAATTTTTTTTCCATTTTTGGCAAGTCATGTCAGCAACTGAAAAACTTTCGGATTTGGGAATTTCGGATAAATCATTCTCAACCTGTGCAACGCCGGGTATTAATTCTAGTACCAAATATTATAGAAATTAAATGAACTTGTTTCTAAGTATGTACGTATCCCTACATTTATTCTGAAATAAAATTCTACAATTTCAGAATCTACTTAAAATCAATTGATTATGAAATTTGATTCGTTACTTCTTTAATGTAGGACAAAAAAATTTAAAACTTTCTATTTCAAACTTCTGAGAAAACAGAAACGTAAACAATAGCCTGGAGAATAATTCTTAAATAACGAGTGCTGTAGAGAGTCTGAGTATCAGTAAGAGTCTTTAGCACACTTTTCCTACACATCCCTTTATTCATGCAAATTTAGTGTAGTGCTCAGTGAGCAATTAAACTAAGTTTTGTTGTTTTGGGAATTTTCTGGTATTCTTTCCCGAACATCATAGCTGCAGTTAGGTGAATCCACGGATGCAAAACCCGCTAGCCGAAGAGTCGGCTCTATCTATCAAGTCTACTACCACATCAAAAAACTTAAAATAGAAAAGATAATGTGAAAATGGAGTCATTTACAAAGAACATTGTCTATGACAAATGCGAAGGTTTAGAAGAAATCTGAATGGCGTCATGATCTGCTACTGTCGACGCCGTTTTTATAACTATGGAGATTTTTGCTTCCCACACCACGTACACAACTCGCCTTTTCTCTATACTTTATATGAGAGATAAAGTCGCTTGCCGCATCAAGAAATGTCTAATAAAATTGATTTGTTAGTCTATGAAAACCTATCCCATTGCTCGATTGTAAATTGTATGATTTCTTTGATATATTCTTGAAGCAATTAAGCCGTTACAAAATAATTAACGAAAAGTATTATCGGCGGTTTTCCTGTATTTTTAGATTACTCTGCAAAAAGAGACAGTAAAAAAAAAAAAAAGAAAATCTGTCATATTTCAACTGAACGAAATTTAATTGATCAAATTAAATTTACCTGAAAATATTAAAAATATACATTTTAAATAGATCATTTTGTAGTTTTAATATTTACCCGGGAAATATGCATAGTTAAAAACTTTTAAATGATGGCAATAGCGTAAGAGTTATCTTTGGCTACTTTTTATACTAGCAAGTTAGATGTGACAAGAAGTTTCTATTAAACAGTATCCTAGCATTTATGAATATTAATACTAAAATAGGCATTAAAAACCTCGACCAAAATTAGAATATGTTTCACTGAATTTGTATTTTCTGTTGGTAACATTCCTTCACCGTACATCTCCAGCAAAATATTAATGTAATGATTAAATGAGCCAGAAACTCATATTTACATTATTTACATAGATGATAACAACTGGCTGAACTTTGTTGTTACATTCACAATGTTTCAGCTGATGCCCGATTCGGTATTCTTCAGGTGATTGAAGAAAGCTGGAGCGTACAACAGCCGAAAGATGTGGACAAAAATGGTCCGAACTATGTAAATAATGTAAATTGTTACAATGACCCATCTCAGAAATATAGATAGATAGAAACACTTATATATGAATATAATACTTTAAAACAATATAATAAAATAGGTAAGAAGATTTTTATCAGAATAAAAAATTATTAGACATAACTGCAGCAATCAAAGTTGTGATTAGAACAGGATTCAGTATCAAAAGCTATGTTATTTCTTAAATAAGACGTCTAAGATGAAGTTATAATTTCTGCAATTGTGTCTGTTTGCAACTGCACCAATTGTGATATCTTATGACAAACCTTCAAGAGCATTTATCGAGTAACTTCAGACAATAGCAAATATATATTCTGAATTTCAGTACAAATGTATGCATGTGTTCCTAATGAGAAACATCTGTACTGAATCTTAATAATAATCTATAATATTCTGTATTACAATTGATACCCAGCGTTATCGACAAACTCTTCTTCCTTTGCTTTGTTGCGCTATGTAGTCATTTCTTTGTTTAGGAGATTTGCATATGATGCCTGTTGGACTTCAACGCCACCATAACAAAATAAGAAAGAAACAATATTAAATACTTTAACTCTACTCCAATAATATATATTATAATTTTAAAAAATCCTATTCTGTTTGATAACTTTTTAATGTAAATATGAAAGAAATTCCCATGAAATCAGTCATTACCCAGGATGAAAAGAATCGTGCGCATTAATCTGATTCACGATCCACATGTTACTGCTAATAATAAACCTTTGCTATTAAAAAAGAATTGTAAGACAGCGTCAACAATAGAAAAATAGATGTTTCAAATTTTTAATATTCCATATACCAACTTCACAATACTGGAAACTAGTTGAAATTGACTGTATATTGGTTAATATGGATTCTTTTCTTTATCTTTGTTTCGTTTTTCGTTTTCTTTGTTTATTTTTTGCGTGTATATGAGAGTGTCTTTATCACAACATTTCCTTAAGTATCTGTTGTATTTTCCAGTGTTAAACGTTGATTCAGAACATCAAAGCTTCTTTTCATGATGTCAGCTGTATTTAAGCATTCACTATAACTCTATTTGGTTAGAATTTTCCACACCATTTACGACACAAGACTGACCTGTCGTTACTAATTAATATATATTTGCCATTGATGAAAAGAACTGAAACTGGAGTCGGAGTCGGCCAGCAGAAAAATAGAAGAGTCAAAGGTTTGATGTAGCAACTTCATATCCCCAGTTAAAATGAAAGCCAATGTTAAAATTAAAGATGAAAAGAAAACGGAAATATATATCTACCATTTATGAAGAGGTCTGAG